CTGCCGTACTAATCCTTGCCTGATGCCCAATCGTATCGGACTGGCCAGCCTCAAGCAGCAGTCGGCCCGGCCGGCCTGCCCAGGTTCATGATCAACCTCAAGCTTGAGATGACCGATCCTCTGCGGAGGCTGGGCCTCTACCAGATGTTCACAGCCCATTCGGCCACCTTCGAACTGGCCGTGAACATCTGGTGGAGACCCAGCCCCTTTAGAGGATCGGTCATGTCAAGCTTGAGGTCGATCACGAACCTGGGCAGACTGGATCAGCAGCACAAGGCCCACATCAACGCGGGCGATGGTAAAACAATGACTTGGGGAGCTGAGTGTAAGTTTTGAGCTACTCTTCGGGCCTGAAACACAATAATAATAATACTAGTTTTATGTCCTAGATAACAAGACTTTGCCTGAGATGTTCAAGGAGTTCGTCGCCAACCGGCCATTCGTCTTTGTTCATGGGAACACGTGCTTAAACAAATCTGACCTTTGATAACTTCGCGTTGCGGTGATAACACAAAATAGTTCGACGATGAACGCAATAAATGTACAAAAGCATAATAAAAATTATATTAAAGATACGAAATTTACACAGGCATTTTCTATTGAATATGAACAAATCGAAACAAATCAATTGAACAACAGCGATGTTATAATTCCTTTTATCCATTTTTTTCGATTGTTCTACATGATGTAATTGTCCGTCCAATAGAAACACAATGGCTTTCAAACTCAGAGACTAGTTTGTGTAGAAAGACAGACTGGCGGACATGGAAAGATCAACTCACCTAGTAATGCCGATTAAGAATATAGTTATAGTTTACTTTATAGGGTCTGAAATGGCTCCTTCACTGTGTTGCAAACTGAAATTTAAATACCATATTTAAAATAATATTTATGTTAAGTTGTCTTCGTTGTTTTTCAGATACTTGTTGATCATTTGTAGATTTTTATTTTAAGTAATTTTATTTTTTTTATCTTAGTGAACTTTTCTTTCTTTAACTAAAAATAATTTTTTTCTAAATCATATTTCCAACAAAGTGAACAGAGAAATATAGTTTTTTGTTGTTTAATAAATATCCAAAGTTTAAAAATCTCAAAAGTTTGATATATACAGGGTTACGAACAATTTCCAAAAAAAAAATAAAAAAAAAGGGAAGTAAATGGTTTTGTTTTAATTTTAAAACTATTTGTAACGATCCTGCTTTGCTGAGGTAGCTCAACGGTGTCCAGGTGTTCGTTCCAACATTTATTTATGTCAGGAGTGGTTGCTGGAAGAGTTCGACCCGGTTCCCAGAGTATGACACGTAAGCGGGGTTCAGTGAAATCGAATCGGTATGCGTTTATTAACAATTATCGTGTACATACGATAGATAGAGTACGTGCTGCAGGGGCTCGTCCGCCCGTAGGATGCCGGGGACTTCTGCGTCGTCGTTCGGCGTCGTCATCGCGGCCGGCGGCGGGCGTCCTGTGGGTGAGAAAGAAAAGGCCACGTCGTCCCTCTTGGCTATGCTTATGTCTATGAGGATGAGACAGTTTGGAGGTCGCTTGGGTCTACCAGTTCCGAGAAGAGGGTGGAGGCCGCTTGGGTCTACCAGTTTCGAGCAGAGGGTGGAGTCCCCAGAAGATCGGGTGTCACTTGTAGTTTCCTAATCCTATAGCCAGTGCCATAACGCGTGTGGCTTGTGGTGGCCGTTGGTCAGTGTGACCGTTTCTTTTGTTTGGCGCGTCCGCCCGGATATTTAAATTTGAATATTTCCGTTTTAACTTATATTTATTTCGGCTTCTTGCCTACTTAACTTCTTGCTTCTTGCATTTTACTACTATCTTAATCTATAACTACTGCCTATGTTTATTATTTGTTTATTCTTATATATTATGTTTATTCTGTGCGCTCCTGAGCGTCACACCTCCCCCCCTCTTGAGAAGGCACGAAGTGTCTTATAGTAATTCGGGTTCCCCTTCCAAAAATAACCTTCCACGTCTTTCGCTCGTCTTTTACCAATATGCTTTGCTGCTTTCCCTTTCTCCTTCTGTTCCATCTTTCTTTAATCTCGTCGACCGCCCTGGCCGACATCGTTGCATCCCTTGGTAAGATCCACCCCATCTCGTTCGTGAATAACTCCGCTTGTGGTGCTTGTGAGTCTGGGCGTGCCTCCGTCTCATGGCCTGCTGCCGCCCCCTCTGCCTCGGTGATATCTAACTCCAGGTTGCCGCATTGGATTCTTGTGCGAGTTTTGGCCAGAAAGTCCATTCCTAATAATATTCCTCCTGTCACCTGATTAAAGATGAGAAAGTCCAACTCGAATTCTTCTCCTGCGAACTGTATGTTGGTTGTAAAATCTCCATCCGATCTTTGCTTTGATCCGTTCGCCAATGTTATTTCTGTCCTTCCCTTCCTCCATCTTCCATATTTTCTCAATTCGTGGTATCTTCTCTTGCTGATCACACTCCGTGAAGATCCTGTGTCCACTGTTCCTTTTGCTTTTACTGGTCCGATTTTTACTGTGGCCAATATTTGAAATCCGTCACAACTTAATTGTTCCCATGTAGCTGGTATTTGTTTTTGGTCCTGTGCCGCCAGCGTTATCTGCTCAGGCCTCTGGCGTTTCCCGCTCCAGCTCTGCAACAGTCCGTTGTTCTTGTTCGATTTCTGCCGCATACCCAGCAAATCAGTCTTGGGGGGTTTGTGCAGGTTCTTATTGTGTTGAGTTCCTCCGCTGGTGTGCTGCTCTGATCCGTTGCTCCTTTTTCCTTCTTGTGCTTCTCTGCTAGCTCTCCCAGTCTTCGCCTGATCGTCTCCGTGTGGTTTGGGTTCCTTGCGAATGCTGATAGTATCTGTCTTAGCTCCTCCACTTTTCCTGTTGCGTCTAATCCGAACTCCCTTGCGTACTCGATCAGATCCGCCTTTGTTGCTAGGTACACCCACGTCGACATAACTCTGTACCGGTGTCTTTCTCTTTGCAACCACTTTAACCTGCTCGGGCGCCATGTAACGATCCTGCTTTGCTGAGGTAGCTCAACGGTGTCCAGGTGTTCGTTCCAACATTTATTTATGTCAGGAGTGGTTGCTGGAAGAGTTCGACCCGGTTCCCAGAGTATGACACGTAAGCGGGGTTCAGTGAAATCGAATCGGTATGCGTTTATTAAGAATTATCGTGTACATACGATAGATAGAGTTCGTGCTGCAGGGGCTCGTCCGCCCGTAGGATGCCGGTGACTTCTGCGTCGTCGTTCGGCGTTCCGGCGTCCTGTGGGTGAGAAAGAAAAAGGCCACGTCGTCCTCCTTGGCTATTGCTTATGTCTATGAGGATGAGACAGTTTGGAGGCCGCTTGGGTCTACCAGTTCCGAGAAAAGGGTGGAGGCCGCTTGGGTCTACCAGTTTCGAGCAGAGGGTGGAGGCCCCAGAAGATCGGGTGTCACTAATGACGGTCGGTCTTGGGGTGTGGGATCCCAAAGGTCGGATATCACTGATGATGGCCGGTCTTTTGGAGGGTGGGAAGAAGTGGAAGAGGGAGGAAAAGCTAACTACAATGTATTGGGCGGACGGGGTACTAGACCCTATCCCGAAAAATACTCCGCAGTTAACTCCCAGAGAAGTTTTCTCACACCAATGCGTAAGCCTTACCTTCTCCGCTCGCCGTCGGCCGCAGAGTGAATCTGTATGGGCCACCGGCGCCCTTTTTATATCCCTCCCGGCCCTTGCCAGTCACAATTAGTGTGACTGTAGTTTCTTAATCCTATAGCCAGTGTCATAACGCGTGTGGTTTGTGGTGGCCGTTTGTCAGTGTGACCGTTTCTTTTGTTTGGCGCGTCCGCCCGGATATTTAAATTTGAATATTTCCGTTTTAACTTATATTTATTTCGGCTTCTTGCTTCTTGCATTTTACTACTATCTTAATCTATAACTACTGCCTATATTTATTATTTGTTTATTCTTATATATTATGTTTGTTCTGTGCGCTCCTGAGCGTTACATATTGTATTTGGACAAACTATGCTTCAATTATGATCTACGTACACATTAAATAAATCGATTGCGAAAGATTTAAACTGAGATCGCATAACGCCCTTTGAAAGGGTATAATGACGGTTATGAGAACACACATCAATGACGAGCTTCAAAAAGAACAAATAACTTTGTTATTCCAAAATATTACTGAAATTGTTTACCCATTCTTAGAGATTAAATTAAGCAAACAGATTAAAAAATCAATTTTCTTTTGTCTATAGCGCAATTGTCAAAGCAAATGGATAAGTAAAGTGGCAAATTACGCTAACAAAAGCCTAAATTATCATTATCAAAGGTCATTTGAGCTGCAAAAAATTTGTTGGCCAATGTAGTTAATTACGTGATAAGCTATCACTAGGGTTAAAAATAAATAGCAAATAACTATTTGGCAAGATATTAATCAGTGTATAAAAGCCACCTTATGCAGGAATAAAAGCGAAGAACTAGATAGAACACCTGGCACACGATGACTTCCAAGCCAAGGAATGGCGTCACTATACGCACAATGAACCCGGAGGACTATGAAAACGTGAAAGCATTCATGAAGACGGAGTACTTTACAGCGGAGCCCCTGTGCCAGTCCAGCGGTGAACCCGTTCACCTGCAGAACGAGGAGGAAAATGACGCGATCAAGCTCTCGATGATCCACCAGGACACATGTCTTTTGGCCCTCGACGAGAGCAGCGGTGGTCGAATTGTGGGCTTCGTCCTGGCAGGAGTCTAGTTCTCCAAGGATGTGGAACCGCAGCCACCGGCGACCGAGACTCTGGAGCAGAACGCTTGGGGTCGCATCTACATCATACTCATCAAGGCCAAGCACGAAGCCAATCTCTTTCAGCGCTACGGCATCTCGAAAGCGCTCTACTCCCACGTCACCTGTGTGGCCACCGCGATGAGGGGCAAGGGCTTGGGTTCCCGCCTCACCGCCACTTTGGTGGACGTGGGTCGGTCCAGGGGACTGCCCGTCTTGGTGGCCTACTGCACAAGCTTTTACTCTGCTCGCCAGAAGGAAGAGCTGGGCATGGAGTGCATTTACTCCCTCGACTACGCCGACCACAAGGACGATCAAGGACGAGTGATCTTTGCACCGGCAGAACCAAACACAACGTTGCGAGTAATGGCCATGAGACTGTAAACGGGGGTACTGTAGAACTAGGAAATTAAATGTTTTAAGATACGAAGACAATTCCTTGTACATAGATTTTGTTCAATAAAGGTTTTATTTAAGTCCCTACAATATTAAAACACAATATTTAAAAATATTTATTCAGTGTCTCTCTCGCAGTAGAAAAAGTGAACAAAAAATTATGCACTTAAAGATTCCGAAAAAACTTATTAATTATTATTATTAAGTATTATAAAAAAAAATCTAGAACAAAAATTACCTTTCTGCCAATATCTCTGTTTAAAACATCACAAAGCGGTTAAAATTATTATCTCATTCCACCGATTGTATGTCGTACACTACAGAATAAAATAATGTTTTTTTTAAATATATTAAGACTACATGTTAAAAGGTTACAAAAATTTAAAATATAAATATTTCTGTAGTTTCTTTTTATTCATACACTGGTAAAAAAAAACGTAGAAAATTCAAATATTTTGAACCCAATTGAAATATTTTTGCTTTGATTTCGCCCACTGCGGTTTTTAGTTACGTTAAATATGAATACATTAAAAATTGTTAAAATTGTTTGCTTGATTTTGAGAATTGATTTAAACAACTAAAATACAAATAATATTTAATACATATTTATCTCAATAAAATATTTTTAACATTAAACAACATCAATAATAATAAATCATGCAATTTATTATGAAATGTATTTAATATTATGCTTTTATTTTTAATTTAAATATTAAGTACAAAATTGGGATTTACATAGACTGATATTTATCAGTTTATTTATATTTATTAGTTTAAAGCTTACTAGCCAAGACCCGGACATGAGTATGGGGTGCTGGTGGATTGTATATGGGTCGGCCTTGATCGTCTTTGTAGTCGGCATAGGCCTGCGAGTGAATGCACTTCATTCCCAAGCCTTCCATGGCCTGCTTGGCGGAGTAGTAACTGGTGCTGCCAATCAGAAGGGGGAATTCCCTGGAGCGACCCAGGTTCATTAGAGTGACGGCGAGGTGGGACAAAAGACCTCTTCCCCTCATCGAGGAGTGAACGGAGACGGCCACTAAGTTCAGATATATGCGGACACTGCAGCGTTCGAAGATGTTGGCATCGCGCTCCACTTGGGCTATCATCTGCCTGCTTCGACCCAAAGCATTTTGCTCCATTTCCTCGGCTTCCCTATGTTGTTTGGCCAGTATGCTGGGGTCCATTCTTTCGGCCAGAGCAATGCCCACAAGGAGTCCCCCCTTGTTCTCGTCGAACGCTACCAAGGAAAGCCCTTGGCTAATCACCGAAAGGTATCCTTCGTCAGCTTCTTCCTCATTTAGAAGATGAATTTGCTCTTCGAGACCTATTCCCATAGGCTCGTCGTAATGAAAGTAGTCCCTCATAAAAACTTTCACGATTGGGTAGTCGCTCTCCTCCATGAGGCGAATAGTTATCCCATTCCTTTGACTCAGTATCATATTGCAACAAGCGGCCACGACTTTCTTTTCTGGTATCGCTCCGATATTCTACTGGCGCTTCTTTTGCAGAGACCTTTTGAAAGAAACCGATATGAGCTATCTGAATGTATTGTACAATCAAACTACATTGGCTAGTCGAAGTTAATACACCCTTGCAGATATACGAGATTATTTAACATTGTTCGTATTTAACAGAACACCATGATCACTGATCACTAATTTCGGGATTTGCAAAAATTCTTCCATCATGATCAGCAAAAATATACGCTTATTTTTCTTGATACATACTACATGCTACATATCTGCTAGCCTATATCAATGGTGTAAATATCGATAAAACCAAACAGAAAAATCACATTGTAATAAAAAACAAAAATAAAAAACAAACAAAACAAGCAAAAATTAATTAAATAATTCGAAAAGTATCACTAGCGTTCAGCAGAATAAACTTGATCACTGATAACTGATCCATCAGTGATCAGTGATCATGTTGTTCTGCTGAATACGCCCATTATATAAAACTACTAGACATCGAGTTGTATGCGTTATATGCCTTGCTTATATGTTTAAAAATAATGAAGTTAGGTAAATTTAAAATTAAAAATTAAAGTAAAAGTCGAATGAGACTTTTGGTAGACTTCCTTCTAGATAGCCTAAGCTGTGAGACAAGTTTTCGTAGAAGTGGACGGCAGGCGTACAGACGGCTGAACGGACATGGCTATTTCAACTTTAGTCTAGTGATGGTGATGCCTTGCAATCTTTTCACTGAAAGTGTAATACCTACAGCAAGAGTATGATAACTACTTTACTTGTTTTTGGTAGTTGCAGTTCTATGTATTTCTATGTTTAATAGAAAATTTCTATGTATTTGACCAGTACGAAGAGCTCATAGCTACAAATAAGACTTTTGAAGTTTTTGGATTTGTATGGGCCTCCAAAAATGATTAAACGTTATCATTATAGTACAAAACAAATGAGGAAACTAACGGAATAAAATCCCGCTTACCTCTTTA